ATAACACAATCATATTTTGTCAGAGTGTAACACTTTATTTGTACTGACACATGCTAGATGCATGGTAAATCATACTAGAACGCAGTAAATCATGGTAAACTATTTTTTTAAATCATGGTACTTTTTGCTACTGTAGAGAGACTGACAAACCCCCCAAGCCAGATTCCCAGTGAAATGCTCTCAGACGGCAAGTGCAGTGAGTTTGCTTCTTTCTTCTCTGAGAGGTGATCAGCACATCATTGAGCCGCACTGGGGTCAGACAGATCAGACCACAACCGGAGAAAGTAGTTACTATGTCTGTTTTCGAAGAAATTGATGGCAAAATTTTGGAAGAAACCGTACAGCACCTTAAAACATCAACCTGCGCCCTTGACGCACTTCCCACATCTTTCTTCAAAAGTGTGTTAAACAGTTTAGAAGCAGATCTCCTAAAAGTGGTTAATGCCTCACTTCTTTCTGGTAGTTTTCCAAACTCCCTGAAAACTGCAGTTGTCAAGCCCCTCCTGAAAAAGAGCAATCTGGATAAGACTATATTAAGCAACTATAGACCGATCTCAAATCTTCCTTTCATAGGCAAGATCATTGAAAAAGTTGTCTTCAATCAGCTGAACAAATTCTTAATCTCGAATGGATACTTTGACAATTTTCAATCTGGTTTCCGATCGCATCACAGCACAGAGACAGCTCTCATAAAGATAATAAACGATATTTGCTTAAATACTGATACAGGCAAATTATCAGTACTGGTACTACTCGACCTCAGTGCTGCATTTGACACTGTCGATCACGACATACTTCTTGACAGGCTGGAAAACTGGGTCGGGCTTTCTGGGATAGTTCTAAAATGGTTCAGGTCATACTTAGAAGGGAGAGGTTATTATGTGAGTATAGGAGACCATAAGTCTGAGTGGACATCCATGACATGCGGAGTCCCTCAAGGCTCAATTCTTGCGCCACTCCTATTCAACCTGTACATGCTCCCAATGAGCCAAATAATGAGAAAGAACCGAATCTCTTACCACAGCTATGCAGACGACACACAGCTCTACTTAGCCCTATCGCCTAACGACTACAGCCCCATTGACTCCCTGTGCCAATGCATTGATGAAGTAAACAGTTGGATGTGCCAAAACTTTCTTCAGTTAAACAAAGACAAAACTGAAGTCATTGCGTTTGGAAACAAAGATGAAGTTCTCAAGGTGAATGCATACCTTGACGCTAGGGGTCTAACAACTAAAAATCAAGTCAGGAATCTTGGTGTGTCTCTAGAGTCAGATCTTAGTTTCAGTAATCATGTCAAAGCAATAACTAAATCAGCATACTATCATCTGAAAAATATTGCAAGAATTAGATGCTTTGTTTCCAGTCAAGACTTAGAGAAACTTGTGCATGCTTTCATCACCAGCAGGGTGGATTATTGTAATGGACTCCTCACTGGCCTTCCTAAAAAGACCATAAGACAGTTGCAGCTCATACAGAACGCTGCTGCCAGGCTTCTGAGCAGAACCAGAAAATATGAACACATCACACCAGTCCTCAAGTCTTTACACTGGCTCCCAGTTACATTTAGGATTGACTTTAAAGTATTATTACTGGTATATAAATCTTTTAATGGGCTAGGACCTCAATATATTGTAGATATGCTCACTGAATATAAACCTAACAGATCACTCAGATCATTAGGATCACATCAGCTAGAAATACCAAGGGTTCACTCTAAGCAAGGAGAGTCTGCTTTTAGCTATTATGCCAGCCGCAGCTGGAACCAGCTTCCAGAGGAGATCAGATGTGCTCCTACAGTCACATTCAAATCCAGACTCAAAACACATCTGTTTAGCTATGCATTTACTGAATGAGCACTGTGCCACTGTTCGTCCGACTGTTTTTACTGTACTTTACTTTATTTTTTATTCTAAACTGTTTTTACTGTACTGGTTTTGTCTTTGTTTGTTTTTTAATTTCTAATTTATTTATTTTTATAATCTCTGGAAGAGATTTTGAAGGAGAGCGGGAGAGTCTTCACTCCGATGAGGCGAGTGAAGGAGTAAGTTATACTGCTGTATAAGAAGTCGCTGAGAGCGTCGTTAAGGGTAACGGCAGCAGACAGCGCACACGAAGCATGATCTGTGGGGGCCCCGCTGGGCATTACTGGTGTAGCACCACCCCAGCAGAGTACGTCCCTGGGCTAGAGGCCCAGTGGCACCGTAAACCGGCTCAATCTCTTCCATCTCAGATGGGGGTGGACCAGTACTACTTTATTTGATTTTTTATTCTAAACTGTTTTAATTATTCTTATTTGTTTTGATTACTTTAATTTCTTCTATGTAAAGCACTTTGAATTGCCATTGTGTATGAAATGTGCTATATAAATAAACTTGCCTTGCCTTGCCTAAACAATGGTAAATCATGCTAGAACAGGGTAAATCATGTAAAGCATACTACAACATGGAATATCATGGTAAAACTATGGTAAATCATGCTAGATTCATGGTAAATCATACCAGAGTGTGGTAAATCATGGTAAACGATGGTAAATTATGCTACAACAGGGTAAATCATGTAAAGCATACTAGAACATTGTGAATCATGCTAGATTCATGGTAAATCATACTAGAACATGGTAAATCATGGTAAAACTATGGTGAATCATGCTAGATTCATGGTAAATCATACCAGAGCGTGGTAAATCTTGGTAAACAATGGTAAATTATGCTACAACAGGGTAAATCATGTAAAGCATACTAGAACATTGTGAATCATGCTAGATTCATGGTAAATCATACTAGAACATGGTAAATCATGGTAAAACTATGGTGAATCAGGCTAGATTCATGGTAAATCATACTAGAACATGGTAAATTATGGTAAAACTATGGTAAATCATGCTAGATTCATGGTAAATCATACCAGAGCGTGGTAAATCATGGTAAACGATGGTAAATTATGGTACAACAGGGTAAATCATGTAAAGCATACTAGAACATTGTGAATCATGCAAGATTCATGGTAAATCATACTAGAACATGGTAAATCATGGTAAAACTATGGTGAATCATGCTAGATTCATGGTAAATCATACTAGAACATGGTAAATCATGGTAAAACTATGGTAAATCATGCTAGATTCATGGTAAATCATACCAGAGCGTGGTAAATCATGGTAAACGATGGTAAATTATGCTACAACAGGGTAAATCATGTAAAGCATACTAGAACATTGTGAATCATGCAAGATTCATGGTAAATCATACTAGAACATGGTAAATCATGGTAAAACTATGGTGAATCATGCTAGATTCATGGTAAATCAAACTAGAACATGGTAAATCATGGTAAAACTATGGTAAATCATGCTAGATTCATAGTAAATCATACCAGAGCGTGGTAAATCATGGTAAACGATGGTAAATTATGCTACAACAGGGTAAATCATGTAAAGCATACTAGAACATGGTTAATCATGGTAAAACTATGGTAAATCATGCTAGTATCATGGTAAATCATGGTAAACGGTTTTCCATCTATTATGTCAGTGGTTACATGCTTGCTAAATGTCTTTAATGCTTATGTGCTAAAAGGGCTTAACTGCTTGAACACCGCTAAATGCTGCTTGCAGCTTTAATCTTTATGGATATTTTATTTTGGTGGATATTCTTCTTTGATGAGATTGTTTTGCACCTTGAAAGGAAGCAGACTCATCTTTGACACCAAAATGATGATCATGTGAATTTGTTACAATTTATCAAACATTGCTAAAATAGCATATAAAAGATGTGTTATATGAAAGCTTGAATAAAAGCTTGAATAAAGACATATTTTAAATCTAGATTAAATCACGTCTTTTACCCCCCAAAAGATTGTTAAGAAAGCTCTCCTTTCCTGACAAAGTAAAAGGAAGTGTTCTTAATACAAGAATAGTCAAGATTATAGCAAATTGATATGTTCTTTGTGAGTAAACTAATTCTGAACAAACACATTTGTTTTTCAGGTGGTTCATCGTGATCAATCCAGAAAAAGGCACCAAGGCTGGCGGATCGATTCATCAAAGCGGACGGGGTTGCCCAGAAAAAAAAACAGTGAACCCTGTGCGAAGTGTGTCTGTCCACAAGTGCGAAGACAAAAAGAATGATTAGATGGAGATGGATGACATGTATAGCAGCATGCGGTAAGTAACATTCTTTTGTTTGTATCATACATCTAGAGATAACGACAAGACATTTCCAAGCAATAGCTTGAGCTAATAGATTTTAACCTGGTGAAATGTTTTTTTTATCCATCTAACTGGACCCTCAACCATACGCACAGTGTACAGTGCCATATAGTCACCATTGAAAACATATTTCCACTGGGCTATAAGAAATATAATATGGGTATAAACTATTTTTATATGGTTATAGTTTATTTTTATTATTAGTATTTTTGTTTATTTATCATTGCTATCAATAGCCTACATGACACATTTAAATAACAGCCTATGAATAATTTAAAAAAAAAACTATATCAATCTTGCTAGCCCATTTGTAAACTGTAAAAATACAGTGAAGAATACAGACTACAGTAAAGATATGTAATAGAAATGTGATACACAAATGCAAGCAATGTTGGCTGTTGTTTTTTTCTGGTGTTCTTCTTGTATAGTTATGCAGTGTAGTCAGTCAGGGCTGGGTTTAGGTATTAACTTTTTTTTAGATTACCTGAAAATCAAAATGTCATTCTTAAATTTCTTAATACTTTTGATGTCACTGTTCTCATGCGAATCGTTTTCTGTAGTTTAGGTTCTTAAATTTGTAATAAAATGTAGGCCTTCCCCTGATTTTTATTAATTAATCATCTGTGTTGAATATTAACACTGCAAACTGACAATGTGTACTGACCACCTTCTCTCTTTTATAGCAAAATCATGGTACAATGAGAGAACAACACGGGAGCGAGGCCCTTCCTTTTGGGAAACAGGGGTGCTCCTGAATTTTCAAGACAATGATTGGTACCTCAACTTCAGAATGCCCAAAGAGGCCTTCAATATCCTCTGTGACCAGCTGCACCCATACATCAACCCTCAAACTACCAACATGTTGGATCCAGTACCTCTAGAGAAGAGGGTAGCAGTTACCATCTACAAGCTTGCCAGTAATGTTGAGTTCCAGGATGTTGCCAACCTGTTTGGTATTGGAACCAGCACCACCTGTAATATCTTCTGGGAGGTGTGTGAGACACTGAGTAAACTCAGGAGGGTTTTTGTGAAGAGGCCTAAAACTGTCCCTCAAGTCCAAGCCATCATCACAGGATTTGAGAGGAAGACGGAATTCCCCATGTGTGCTGGGGCTTTGGATGCCACGCACATCCCAATCATTGCCCCAGCGAGCTATCCCACTGACTATTATAACAGAAAAGGATGGTACAGTATTCTTCTTCAAGGACTTGTAGACCACACTTACAGCTTCCTTGATTTTGATGTTGGTTGGCCTGGGAAGTGCCACGATGCATACGTTTTTGAGTGTTCATGTCTGTGTCGCAAGTTGGAGGAGGGTACCTTTTTCCCTCCAGTCAGCAGGAACATCCAAGGCGTCGACATACATGTCCTGATTGTGGTCGATTCTGCCTACAGCTTGACTAGCAACATAATGAAGCCATTCCCGGAAGGTACAGCGAGGGGTCCCAAGGCAGCCTACAACGCCTCCCTGAGCCGTGCTCATATCCATGTTGAACAGGCATTTGGTCGCCTCAAGGGCCGTTGGAGATGCATTATGAAAAGAAATGACTGTCAAACCCAAAATGTGAAGTATGTTGTGTCTGCTTGTGTAGTGTTGCACAACTTCTGTGAAATGCAGAAAGTTGCTTACCAGGAACCCCAGGAAGATGTGTTGGATCAGCCAGGACCACAGCAGCATGATGTACCTGCTCTCTCCCCAGCAGAGCACATCCGGGAGGCCTTAGTAGCTCATATTAATACAAATCAATAAAGTGCAGAGAAGCTTTGGAAGCTCATACACAAACTATGCAGTCAAGGCGCACGTGAAATTGAAATCAAACATTTATTTATAGTGCAGAGCATCCTTCATTTCTGAACTTGGCAATTCACATAAGTTTGAACTTTTGTTAAACTTTTTTTTCTCCAGTTTTTTAATATAAAATAAACAATATAAACTTAAACACATTTAAATAAAGTAATTTGTAAATAACGTAGTTAAATAATAATAATCATAATCTTGGATAAGTTTAGCAACTAAATTGTCCAATACAGGCACTAATGCACTAACCCCAGCATGTTTTATTTGCTATTAAATAAACTTACATTTCGCCAAATTCGCCGCCTCATTCAAGTCCTCAGTCACCCGTGCTCATATAGTTGCCTATTATTCAGCAGCACAGCATCAGTTGTCCAAAATAAAAAGTTCTGTTCAGCAGTGCTGTCAATCTGTGTGTGCCTGCCTGCATGTGGGACTAGGTCCACGCATGCTCAGTCAGGATAAACTCATGATCATCGGTTCTCAGATGGTCGGACGTGTCCGAAAGAAACAGTTTTCGGTTCAGTGTACTGGTGATTCGAAACTGCTTGAGAATCGCTGTAGCAAAACGGCGCTGAGTGCTGGCGGCTCCATATGCTTTCGAACCGCTCTCGCTGTACTTTAATGAACTTATTTCGAAATAAGCTGTTCCTGAAAATATCATGCATTAATGTTAACACAAATAGCCTAAATGTTTAGTTTGACAGTTTTACAAAACATTAATTGTGTTTCCAACCTTTAAAATGTAGCAGTTGTGCTTTCATGTTAATTATTTTGCTGTAATGCTTTATAAACAACATTCATATTTCTGAATGTTAGATAGCCTAATTAAATGATTTAAAATCTGTGTTCAATTATTTATGTTCATGTTGCATATGTAGCTTCTTGTATGTACAGTATATATTCTGTTTGCTATTATGCTATTTGTGTGTATAAGCACAATAAACTTTTTTGGTATTTTACACTGTTTTTTCTTTACAGTATTACAGTAAATGCCTAAAAATACTTGCAAGGATAAATTATAAATAATTATAAATTAACCCTCTGGGGACCAGAAACGCGCCCGCGCGTTTTGCTCGTTTTTTTTTTTAGCAATGCAAAATAAACTCAAACTACTCTGTTAATTTTGATCTTTCATGTTCGTGTTATACATCAATCGATCCTGTTCAGTTTCTATTTTTTTTCTGTATACTCACAATAAAAATAAAGTGTTTTGCTTTTTGCCAAATAATGAAAAATGAACATGATGCGAGTTCTTCACTCTCTCTGTCAGCGAACTCCAATTTGAAACGCGTTCGGAAATGATCTGTAACTCCACGAAAATTCAGTCAAACAGGCAAACATACCCACGGGCATAAAGCTAGAGATCGCATCTTTTAAATGAAGTCATTTATATTAAAAACAAATTTTCTCAGCTTCTGTAATCTGTATGAAAATAGAGCGATTCCAGTCGAGCTCATCACGAGCTCATTCACTTTAATTCGTTCACGCCTACTCCCGGAGCGCGCTATTCACAAGATAATGTGTTAAGCCATCTATGGAAAACAGGTAAACACCCCCAAGCAAATGCATTAAAGGCTTCAAGTTTCATCATTCAGTTCACCTGCGCGTTAGGAAGATGGCACGATACACCGGTGTAGAAGCTCTTCAGCTCGTCCTGGATACTAGCGACGAAGAATCCACATTTTCATCAGAAGAAGAGATGAAAGAAGATGAAGAAGAGAAGAAGACTCTGATGACGACCGTTTGATCGAGCCGTGGATAGAATTTCGTATGAGTAAGTATTTAGTCTTACTTCCATTAGTTGACAAGCTATTCAATATAAACATGTAGCTTACATATTATACTGGGTGGACTATTTTCCACTTGCCATCCAGAGTATTGACATTTGATATATTCAACACGATCTAATGAAAGTGCATATCTATACCATGAATTTAATATCTCGTGTTAAAGAGAAAAATGTTTTTTTTTTTTTTTTTTTTTTTTTTGTGCATGCTACGCACTGTAAACCCCAGTTAGGAAATTTGTATGTGTAAATGATATGTTTAGATCATTGTGTATGAAAGCTAGAATGTAGAAGTTATTTTAGAAAATAGGCCTACTAGATGTTTAGATTAAATTTTGACTAGTTTAAATGCTGCCTCATTATTATCATTGACGATGCATGCTCGCAAATTAATGCTCCCAGTTAATGACTTGCGCAAATGTGTTTTGTTTGCGGTGTGCCTCTCCGGCAATGGCCCATTGACACGCGTATTTATTGCACTCGCCTAAAATTATTTACATCAGTTATTCATTATAGACTAATGCTGCTATGGTTATATTTATGTAATAATATTCCTCAACTTAAAAAAAAAAAAAGGAATGTAGTTTCATCACTACCTCTGCCTGCAACTCGGAGTGCGCTTAGCAACACAGTCAGAAATCAGAAAGAAAGTACATATTTACCTACAATTTTACAGATGTTAGTTCAATTTTGTTTATACTTAGTGTTAATACAATATGAGCCTGTATGACTTCACAATTGCTTTGTTTATAGCCGACTGATTATTTATTTATTTTACTCACATTTGATTTGCTTAGAGCAAATTTAGAACATTTAGTTCCCCTTCAGGGACTACCGCTGCGTGTAATCGCAGTGGGAACGCCCCAGCGTGACGCGTCTGAAGCATGAATGAAATCAGTCAATGGAGAGAATGAGCGTACGGCGAGTGACGTCATAGACCAGGAAGCTATAAATATCCCCTGAGCACACAACACGCCAGCTTTTGTCACTTCAGCAGCTCTGTGCGTGTGTCTGAATCTGTCGATTGTGTTTGTCTGTTCTGTCAGGAGTTTATCACTATATATATATATATATATATATATAAAAAAACCAATATGAGCGAGCAGTATAGAAAGTGTGTTCCCCCCTGTACTCGATACATCACGGGTGGGGATTCACGGCTGGCTCTTCCATCTAGACCACTAAAGAATACCTCTGTGCTGGTGGGGAAGGCTTACTCGGCGGCTGGGCAGGCGGCTGCGTGTTTGCATACGATGGCTATTATGCAGGCTTATCAGGCCGACCTGCTCAAAGATGTTTCTGAGGGGGGTGAAATTTCGGCTGATATGATTAGCGAACTTAGGCAAACTGCTGATCTCACTCTGCGTGCTACCAGAGAGTCCGCTAAATCTATTGGTCGATCTATGGCAGCCATGGTGGCCACAGAAAGGCACTTATGGTTGAGTCAGACATCGATGAAGGAAAAAGATAAGTCTCTCCTTTTAAATGCTCCTGTTTCGCCTGTGGGCCTCTTCGGTGACGCTCTTCACTCGGTCACGGAGAGGTTCCAGGAAGAGAAAAAACAGGCGGCTGCTTTTTCTAAATTCATCCCTCTCAAAATACGTGTCACTGGGGCTGCTGAGCGAAAAGGGCAGTCCCAGCCGTCGAGTTCTTCCTCTTCAAGAAGAGCACAGCAGAAGCGGAGTGTCGCGTCTCGTGCCCCCCCGCAGGGAAACTGGAGGGACGAGGCGGGGCGCTCTCCGGCGCGGCCGTCTCGGGGCAGGACTGATCTGAGGACAGTCATTGTCGCCAGGAAGGCCGCGTCGAAAAAGTCCTGACGGGCTGAACGTCAGGACTCTGAGGGTGGTCCCCATCGGGAGAGACTTGAGTTCACCGCACAAGAACACGGTGCCCTGTCTTTCCCGATGCCCTCAGGGGTCTGTTCTACTAACCCTGCCTACACAGGGCGTAGAGAGACTCGGCGAGCGATTTCCCGAGGGACGCTCGCCCCCTCCGAGGAGGGTTGTGGAGTGTTCAGACCAGCTGTTTCCTGCCAGTATGTTACAGGGCGCTGTGTCTGTCACTCGGGATGTTCATCCAGAGGCCAGCCTCGAGAGGCTGGTTCCCTTAGTAGAGTTCCTGGCGGAATGGGAAATGCTTCCCAATGTTTCTCAGTGGGTCCTGAATATTATAAAGAACGGGTACGCTATTCAGTTCAGAACGCGTCCACCTCAGTTCAGAGGGGTTCTGCCCACGGTGGTGGGCCCCGAGCAGGCTCTGGTATTAGAACAGGAGGTAAGAACTCTGCTGCAAAAAGGGGCTATAGAACGGGTTCCTCCACCCAGCAGGGAGTTAGGATACTACAGCCGGTACTTCATCGTTCCGAAAAAAGATGGAGGGCTGCGTCCCATTCTAGATCTGCGTGTCTTAAATCGCACTGTAGGAAAGCTCAAATTCAAGATGCTCACTCTCAAACAGATCGTGTCACAAATCAGATCCGAGGACTGGTTTGTCACGATAGATCTAAAGGACGCTTACTTCCATGTATCTATCCTCCCTCAACACAGGAAGTTCCTGAGGTTCGCTTTCGGGGGCGAAGCGTACCAATATCGGGTTCTTCCGTTCGGCCTAGCACTGTCACCCCGCACGTTCACGAAGTGTATGGATGCAGCTATAGCTCCGCTCAGGCTGCAGGGCATCCGTATTCTGAACTATATAGACGATTGGTTAATCCTAGCTCAATCGGAACAACAGGCGGTTCGGCATCGAGATGTCGTTCTGGCTCACATCAAGAGGTTGGGGTTGAGACTCAACGCCAAGAAGAGTGTTCTTTCTCCATTACAGAGAACCACTTTTCTCGGTGTAGTGTGGGATTCGATGACGATGCAGGCACAATTGTCACCTGCTCGTGTTGCTTCGATTCTTGCCACAGTAGATCAAGTCAAGCTAGGCCGGTCATCCACTGTAAAACAGTTCCAGAGACTGTTAGGTCTCATGGCAGCTGCGTCCAACGTGATACCTTTTGGCCTCCTGCACATGAGACCGTTACAGTGGTGGCTCAGAACCAAGGGATTCTCCCCGAGGGGAAATCCGCTTCGCATGATCATGAGTTCGCGACGGTGTCATCGCGCCCTGGTTATGTGGAAAGATCCTTGGTTTCTGTCCCAAGGCCCTGTGTTGGGAGCTC